AAAAACTAACATTCTTTGGGGTGAGCTCAGTTCTTGGACTCAGAGACCAATGCCAGGTCTATCTCCTGGTCCCCTTTCCTACTAATTCACAGAAGGACAGGCTGGATTTTGAAGCGATAGATGATGGAGGGGGTTGTTCCTCCCCTGCCTCTCAGGTAGAACAGCAGCCTATTGTACGTCTCACGAGATCACAAAAAGTAACACGTTGCCCACGGGCTTCCGCACTATTTCCTGGTTGTTTGATATAAGACAGTTCAACTTCACTTCTTTTGATTTCGATTTCACTTTTTTTCCTTTTCTTGGAGAATGTAATTTGAGTCAAGAGTGTTGTGGATGTAGAAGTTGTAAAGCACATTCACTGTGTATCAATCCCAGTCCATCTTCCTAGAGAAGACTCTGAACACCTCCTGGACTGCACCTGGGGCCATGCCAGTTTCTATCACTGACAGTCACTCCAGGGACACAGAACACAGACAGAATAAATTACATACAGCAGGTTCATTACTCACAGATCAGCAGCAAGTGACAACAGAAGCCTACATTTCAGGGCGAGCCAGTCCCCCGAGGCTCAGAAAAGCTGCCCCGGACATACGGAGTCACCCCATATGCAGTGTAGCTGGGGGAACCAAAAACCAGCCCCGCCTGGGTTTTGCACCCTGGAGCCACAGGAGGCACTGAGCTGAAGCACTGCATCACACCCTCCTCTAGGAAGAGCAGGAGGAGAGCCCAGGCTGTTCTGAGACGTTCCTCCTGATCTCAGGGCGTTGCTGTCTTAGTCCGTTTTTGCTGCTATCAAAGAGCACTTGAGCCTGGGTAACTTCTAAAGAAAACTGATGTGTTTGGCTCACGGTTCTACAGGCTGTACTAGAAGTATGGCATCAGCTTCTATTTTTTGTGATGCCTCAGGCTGCTCCCACTGTGGCAGAAGAGAAGTGAGTGTGTGTGTGCAGAGACCACAGAGATCACACGGCAAGAGAGGGAGCAGGAGGCGGAGGTGTGATGGAGCTTCCAAGTTCTCTGTCACAACCCACTCTCCAGGAACTAGTAGAGGGAAAACTTGCTAATCTTGTCTCATGGGGACAGCATTAATCTATTCATGATGGATCCACCCCATGAACCAACCACCTCCCACTAAGCCCAACCTCCCACACTGGGGGTTAATTTTCAACGTGAGGGTTGAAGGGGATCAAACATCTACACCAAAGCAGTTGTATCATCAGCTATTTCTGTGGTTACTATGAGAACTGTAACTGACAAAGCAGGAGAAAGCCGGGTCGCCCGCCGTCTGGGTGCTTGTCCTAAAAAGACATTGTACGTGGTTACCTGCCAATCAGGAGATGAGAGACAATCCAGGAAGAGGAACTGCTGTGGTGAGCTTCTTATTGGATTCCCATCTTCCTCCAGGTAGCCCCAGACACCTGCACGTTCTGATTGGGACCTCAGTGGTCATCATCCCCTTCATCATCATCATCTTCTTTCTCATTCATCGCTGGTGGTCCAACAAAAAGAGTAAGTCTCACGAAGCAGAGGCCAGAGACCTCAGGGCCGTGTGGGGAAGCGGGATGGGAGCACACAGGTGTGTGTTCCTCATTGGCAGGATGGTCTCTGGCCCAAGGCAGGAGCCGCAGAGGCAGGGCTTTCTAGAGAGAGCACCAGACACCCTGCCCCTGCCCTCAGCTCACAGACCTTTGCCTGATTCTGAACTGTATCCTCACATCCCTGCAGCCACTGACATCAGGAGAAGGTTCCATGACAGGCAGAAAGTGGGAGACAGAATCAATGGATGGGAATTGAGAGCTCCTGATGGGAGGGGTCCTTGTACTCAGAGAGATAGAATGTGTGAGTCAGGCTGTTGGCAGCTGAGGGGCCTCAGGCACCCATGGCTTCCCCCTGTGTGTTGATGTCTGCACATGAAATGAGGACCCAGAAGGGCCCTCCCAGGGGTTTTGATGACTTCTGTCTCCTACAGATGCTGCAGTAAAAGACCAAGAGCCTGCGGTGGACAGAACAGTGAACAGGGAGGTAGGTCCTCCTTGGCCCAGCCTCAGGGATCACGTCTTATTCCCTAATAGTCCCGAAGAATGTGAGCCCCTCCCTCACTCAACATTTCCATCTCCCCAGGACTCTGATGGACAAGACCCTCAGGAGGTGACATATGCACAGCTGGATCACTGCGTTTTCACGCAGAGAAAAATCACTCGCCCTTCTCAGAGGCCCAAGAGACCCCCAACAGAAACGAGTGTGTACATGGAACTCCCAAATGCGGAGCCAAGATTGAAAGTTGTCTCCTGTCCATAGCACCACAGACAGGCCTGAGGGGGTCCTCTAGGGAGACAATGGCCCTGACTCAAACCCGGCTTGCCAGTTCCAATGTAACAGCAGCTGGGACCTGAAGGCGTGAGTCTGTGTCTTAGGGGATCGCTCTTCCTCACACCACAAATCTGAACGTGGCTGTCTCTTGCTTACAAATCTCTGCGGTCCTCACTGCCTGCTGGACAGAAAACACACTCCTTTGCGTAACACACAATTCTCCATTTCACTTGACCCCTGCCCACCTCTCCAACCTAACTGGCTTACTTCCTGGTCCTACCTGAGGCTGTAGTCACACTGAGGAACTCACAAGTCCAGACATACAAGAGGCTCCCTCTTAACACAGCACTTAGACACGTGCTGTTCCACCTTCCCTCATGCTGTTCCACCTTCCCTCTGACTATCTTTCAGCCTTCTGTCATCAGTAAAATTTAAAATTTTTTTTATAATTTCAATGTAGTTCTCTCCTCTTTAAATAAACGTCTCGTGCTTTAGGTAATGTGACCCTTTTTTTTGCCTAAAGTTTCAGGTGTTATCATTATTTGTCCATATAACCCCATATGTCCTCCACTGGGTTCACACCCCTGGACTCTGAGCTCCTAGAAGCAGGTGGAGCCTGTTTTTTCTCTGGGACTCCAATTTCCATCCAGATATGCAGCACATGGGAGGTTCCGAGGATCGTGAATCAGGTGGACAAGTGCTATTCTTACTCTCTGCAGACCTGGAAAGCTCGCAGAGTAATTCCAAGATGAAACATCTACAGGGTCATCGCCCTTGTTAGCCTCATCTCCATGAGGACACTTATCAAAACATCATCTTTCACACTATAAATACACAGTCGGTCCTCCATATCTGTGGGGTTTATAGCTGTGTATCAAACCAACTATAAATCAAAAATATTCAGAGAAAAAAAATCCACAAAGTTTCAAAAAGCAAGACTGTGTTGAATGAACACAAATGAAGTGGTGTGTAGGCTCTGTCAGGAATTATAAGTAATCTAGAGAGGATTTGATGTATTCAGGAGGATGTGCAGGGTTATATGCAAATGCTATGCCATTTCACGTAAGAGGCTGGAGCATCTGCAGTCTTTGCTATCTTGTGGGGAGGGGGCTTTCCTGGAACCAATCACCCAGGAATAGTGAAGGATGACTGTATATTTTTATTCACCAATTTTTAAAATAAATCATCAAAATGTGTAATAATAGGATTTTAAAAAGCGGTGTTTTAATGGTGTGGAAATAAGCTTAGATTTATTTTTCCCTACATGTAACCCTATGGTCCAATGTTAGTTATTGAGAAGACATTCTATTCCACCTTAATCCACACGGCAGCCTTGTCAACTATGAAGGGACTGAGTGTACACGGATGTATTTTACACACTGTTTTCTGCTCAGTGGCTCTCTGTGTCCACTCTCGTGAGGATGCTACACTTTATGTAGCCTTAGAACCCCTTAAAATTTGGTAGCCTGAGTCCTCTAATTTCCCCTTCCTCTTTAAGATTGCCATTATTATTATAGGCTATTTGCTTTTCCATGTAAATTTGTAATCTGTCTTCTCATTTCCACCAAAAACAATGCTTGTCATTTTATTGTGACTCCATCAAATATACAGATAAGGCTGGGTGCAGGTGCTCATGCCTGTAATCCCAGCACCCTGAAAGGCCGAGGGGAGCAGATCACAAGGTCAAGAGCTCGAGAGCAGCCTGGCCAATATGGTAGAACCCCATCTCTACTAAAAATGTAAAAAATAAGTTAAAAAATAAAAATAAGACCTAAAATAAAATAAAATGAAATACAAAAAATAGCTGAGCCTTGTGGTGGGTGCCTGTAATCCCAGCTACTTGGGAGACTGAGGCAGGAGAATCATTTGAACCTGGGAGGTGGAGATTGCAGTGAGCCAAGATCGTGCTGTTGTACTCCAGCCTGGGTGACAGGGCAAGACTCCATCTCCAAAACCAACCAAACAAAAAAAACTGCGGAGAGTAAAGGCCCTCGCTAGCCACTCTCCAGTACCTCTGAGTTCAGTGGATAGAGAACCAGCTCCTTCTTCTTCCTCGAAACAAAGGCTTCCTCCCTTCTTAGGTGTTTGTGACAAATTCTGCACACAGGTGCAGCTGAGCACTGTAATGCCCCATTGAGGCTGAGGGTCTCCATTGCCAGTCACAGCCTGGGCTTGTTAGGGTTATGATGTATTAGGAGAATGGAACCTACCAATCAACTGTTAGTGACCAGTTAGACAGATTCAAGGCAAATTTCCGTAGTGGGAAATCCCAAATCCCAAAATATGCAGAGACCAATAGATACCTCAATTCTGATGTGTCTCCGTCTATATCCTTGGATCACTGTGATTCATGTAGCTATGTGGCTTGTATCCCCTGGCCCATAGACTGGCTAAGATATGCCCTGTGCTAAGGGGATTGCTAACAGTTGAGACAGGACCATGGGGCCAGGCAGGGTGGCTCACACCTATAATCCCAGCACTTTGGGAGGCCAGGGCAGGTATATCACGAGGTCAGGAGTTCAAGACCAGCCTGGCCAAGATGGTGAAACCCCATGTCTACTAAAAGTACAAAAATTAGCCAGGCGTGGTGGCAGGTGCCTGTAATCCTAGCTACTGAAGAGGCTGAGGCAGGGAATTCCTTGATCCCAGGAGGCAGAGGTTGCAGTGAGCCGAGATTGTGTCACTGCACTCCAGCCTGGGAAACAGAGCAAGACCCATCTCAAAAAACAAACAAACAAAAAGATAGGAGCGTGGAAGCTAGAGTAGTCAGGCTTCTCCAGAAAAAAAAAATCAATAGGAGAAAATAATAATGCTAATAATGATAGGTATATTGATAATAATTGATAGACAAATAATGATGGATGGATGCATAATGATAGATATGATATCACAAACAGTGATGGATGGATGATGATAGATATATAATGACTGATACACAGATAGAATATTTACACATTGGCTCGTGCAGCTATGGAGGCTGACAAGTCCCGTGATCTGCCATCTGCAAGTTGGAGACCCAGGAGAGTTCGTGTGTGATTCCAGCCGAAGTGCAAAGCCTGAGAACCAGGAGAGTCAGTGGTGTACATCACAGTCCAAAAGCTGGCAGGCTCGGGCCATGCGCAGTGGCTCACGCCAGTAATCCCAGCACTTTCGGGGGCCAAGGCAGGCAGATCACCTGAGGTCAGAGTTCAAGACCACCCTGGCCAACATGGCAAAACCTCATCTTTACTAAAAGTATCAAAATTAATCAGGATTAGTGGCACTCGCTTGTAATCCCAGCTACTCAGAGGCTGAGGTATGAGAATTGCTTGAACGCAGGAGGTAAAAGTTTGCAGTGAGCCAAGATCACGCCACTGCACTCCAGCCTGGGCAACAGGGCAAGACTCCATCTCAAAAAAAAAAGAAAGAAAGAAAGAAAGAAAAAAGCTGGCAGGCTCAACATCTAAAGAGTCAACGTTTTATTGAGAGTTCAAGGGCCAGAAAAGACAGCTGTCAGGCTGGGCATGGTGGCTCACACCTGTAATCCCACCACTTTGGGAGGCTGAGGCTGGCGGATCACCTGAGGCTGGGAATTCCAGACCAGCTTGGTCAACATGGAGAAACCCCCTCTCTACTAAAAATACAAAATTAGCCAGGTATAGTGTCACACGCCTGTAATCCCAGCTACTCGGGAGGCTGAGGCGGCAGAATCACTGGAATCCAGGAGGTGGAGATCATGGTTAGCCGAGATCATGCCATTGCGCTCCAGCCTGGGCAACAAGAGCAAAACTCTGTCTCAAGAAAAAAAAAAAAAAAAAAACCAGACAGATGTCCAGGCTCAAAGCAGTTAGGCAGGAAGAACTTCATCTTACATTACCACTTCAATTTTTTTTATTCTGTTCAGGTCCCAACCCAACTGACTGAATGAGGCCAACTCACATCAGAGAGTGCAATTCGCCTTATAAATTCTCCCAATTCCAGTGATAATCTCATTCAGAAACACCCCCACAGACAGACACAGAATAATGTTTAACCAAATATCTGGGCACCCCCTGGCGATTTTACCATTGCTGTTCCACAAAAGGAGAAAACAAAAAACCATCTCCAATGCTGTGGAAACTTGACACAATCTGTCCCTGCCCGTTAGTAAATGTCGGCCACTGAGGTTCCCGAAATTCAACCAATTAGTAAGTATCTCTCTCCCAATAGCCATATCATCTGTAAACAGTAACAATAGTTTTTTGGTTTTTTTTTTTGAGACATAGTCTCACTCTGTCCCCCAGGCTGGAGTGCGGTGGCACGATCTCAGCTCACTGCAGCCTCTGCCTCCTAGGTTCAAGTGATTCTCCTGCCACAGGCTCCCAAGTAGCTGGGATTACAGGTGCCTGCCACCACGCCTGGCTAACTTTTCATATTTTTAGTAGAGATGGGGTTTCACTATGTCGGCCAGGCTGGTCTCAAACTCCTGACTTCAGGTGATCCACCCGCCTTGGCCTCTTAAAGTGCTGGGATTACAGGCATGAGCCACTGCACCCAGCTCCTTAACTTTATACAAATTTTAAAAAGCACACAGTAAAATAAATTAGTAGATTATTTCTTTAGAGATGATGAATAGCACCATAGAAAATGCCTCCACATTTGGCATTAAGATAATCTCCAGGGTAAGGGTATACTGCATGCCTGATCAGGCCCAAGAAAATATGCTCTGTGAATCCCAGAGATTAAACAAGTTCAGAACAGACAAAGCCACAGAGCTTTTGAGTGATGGCCCAGTGAAGGCCATCTCTGCCTGTATGCCATCCACCTTACATTCTGTCCCAGGCCCTCCCATTTGGATATAGGAACGGGTTCAGAGATGGATTTGAATACCATTAGACACTGGCTTGAGGAAAATTCACTTCTCATTTGAAACATAAATAGAAATATAGGTCTTAGGCAGGAGGATTTCTTGAGGCCAGGAGTTAGAGACTGTCCTGGCCAACATAGCAAGACCCCATCGCTATTTAAAAAAAAAAAAAAAGAAAGAAATAAAGGTCTTCTCTTAGGCTCCACCCGAGAATAACCCGGAACTAAGTTCTTTGGGAATGAACTGTTCCTCTTTGCTGTGAGGCAACAGATGTAGAAATTCTCTGATGGAGGGCTCTGTCCTCATACTTCCTGAGAAGCTTATACTTATGAGTGTCAGTCATCCTGCTAATGTGCATTAAAAGGAGGCCAGCGGGGCTGAGGCTGTGTCAGCATGATGGCCCCCAAAGAGACCACCCTCCTCTGTCTTGGTGAGTTTCAGAGTAAAGTGGTTTAGAGTGGAAGATGGGGGAATCCCAAAATAACCAGGGTGTCTCTTAACAGTATGACTAGGAGATTTTAATGGCTGCAAAGGAGAGTCTGATCTCCTTAGTAGAAGGGCAGCCTTTGCCAACATATCTATAACTTTGTCTCTGCCCAAGTCCGAGCTAGGTTGCGGGGCTCAGTTATTTTTGTTAAACCTATGGCGTGTTGTCTGGGATTCATGATGGTTCCAGGGCTCCTATCAAGGAGAGACTTAGAGGCTGGAATCTAAAAGGGAAAAATAAAGAATAAGCCTCAAAACGGTGATCGTTGTAGAAGGAAAAAATGTGATTGAACCCCATGTAGTAATATGGTTACTAGTATTTTGTTGAAGATTTTTGCATTTATGTTCAACAAAGATAATGTCCCAACGTTTTCTGTTTTTGTTGTGTCTCTGCCATGTTTTGTTATCAGGATGATGCTGGCCTCGTAAAATGAGCTGGGGAGGAGTTGCTCCACCTGGATTTTTTTGAATAGTTTCAGTAGGAATAATACCAGCTCTTCTCTATATACCTGGTGGGATTCAGCTGTGAATCCATCTGGTGCGGGGCTTTTTCTGGTCTGTCATTACGGAGGGTGATTTGTCGTAAAGGTTGGAAATGGAAGCTTGATTTTCCATAAATCTCTCTCTTCCAGTGCTCTGTCTGGGCCAGAGGATTCAGGCACAGGAAGGTAAGTGTCCCGTGAATCTCTCCCAGCCCTTTAGACCCTCTTGGAAACTCTAGGATAAAGAAATTGAGGAACAGCCTGAGGCACAGAGAGATTCCTATTTTAGTCCCCATTCTAGTTGTTTCTGCTGTGCGTCCCTTGATTAGTTCCATCTCACTTCGTTATCTCCAGACCCTTCAGACTCATTCACGCTCAGGCCTGGATTTACAGTTAGTCCTTGCCTCTGTTATACTGCCCGTGAGGGACCGTCACCTGCTGATTGCTCCCCACCGCGGGAGTGAGGAAGTCGGGGTCATTTGCCCAACTTCCTTCCTTACACTGATTCTATTTTGTTTTAGAAACCTACTTCCTCCTGTCTATTTACATCACTTCATTTAAAGGGAGTATGCTATTGTCTAACCCTACGGAACATTCTAGTATTCTACAGTCCTACTGCAGCGCTAAGCATGAAGCAGTCTTAGAGGACTACTGAGGATTCTGCCACCCCAACTTCTACTGCCTTAGCCTCCTAGTGGGTGTGAGCCCCATGTCCATCCATGTCTTCTCTCTTCCAACTCCTTCCAAAGAATTCCAATTCCTTCCCTGAATTCTTTGTGTGTTGAACTATATTCGTTCTTCCTATCCGTGAGCATGGAATGTTTTTCCATGTGTTTGTGTCATCTCTGATTTCTCTGACAGGGTTTTTGTAGTTCTCCTTGCGGAGATATTTCAGCTCCCCAGTGAGCTGTCTTTCTAGGCATTTTATTCTTTTTGTGGTAATTGTGAATGAATCCTGTTCTTGATTTGGCACTCAGCTTAGATGTTTTTGGTGTACAGAAATGCTGCTGATTTTTGTATATTGATTTTCTGTCCTGGAACTTTGCCAAAGTTGTTTATCAGATTAAGAAGTGTGACTGAGCCGGGCGTGGTGGCTCACGCCTGTAATCCCAGCACTTTGGGAGGCCGAGGCGGGTGGATCACAAGGTCAAGAGATCGAGACCATCCTGGTCAACACGGTGAAACCCCGTCTCTA